TCTCCACCCATGGACCATGTATGGATGTAACCTAGAACCCCTGCTCGGGTGTAGCCCATGGTAGCTCAGTATCCAAGTGGGTTCCCTAGTAAGAGGAACAAGAATTATTTCTGACATGAACTCAACAACTGGCTCCTTTACCTCTCCCCCCACCCCCCAGGGAGGAAAAGCCTTGCTAGGCCACAGAGGAGGACATGGCAGCCAGTCCTGAAGATACCTGATAAGCTAGAGTCAGATGGAAAGGGAGGAGAACCTCTGCTAGCAGTGGACTTGGAAAAGGGCAGGGAGGAGATGAGGGAGGACGGGTGGGATTGGGAGGGAATGAGGGAGGGGACTAGGGCTGGGATACAAAGTAAATAGCCTGTGATTAATATAAAGAAATAAAAATTAACTAAAACAACTTAAGTGACAACACATGCTGGAGAGGATTTGGAGAAAGGGGAACTCTACTCCACTGCTGGCGGAAATGTAAACTCATGTGTAATTTTTCAAAATCCCATTTCTGTAAAAATGATACAGTAAAAAGAGTGAGGAAAAATTTTAAATAGTTTTTGTTTTTAGTTGTGTTTTTGGGTTGTTTGCATGGGTGTTTTGCCTGCATGTATGAATATCTACCTTGCTCTTACAGTGGATACCCTGGGACTGGAACTTGAACCCAGGGCCTTTGCTAGAGCAGCAAGTTCTCTTAAGTAGTGAGCCATCTTTCCCTTCTCAAGCTATAATTACTTATTGTCCTGTCCAAGTATCTCATCACACATGAGGCTTCTTGTTTTTTGAGATGGCAACTGCAGAGCCCATCTAGTAACTTAGCGAGTAGTTTTTGGTGCATAGGTCTTTACTGATTGCTTTTTGAACACATCTAATTTACCTACCATCATTTTCTTGCATTCCAGGTTTTCTTTTTTATTGTTTTACATCTTTTATAGACACCGTGTGTGTGTATGAGCCTGTGGTTTAATGTTTGGGTTTACCGTAGTAGCGCAAGTGTGCCTTGTTTGCCAATATTTGTATCTTAAGAATTAAATAACTCGTTCATGTGAAGAAGAATTTTTAAGGTCAGCCATGGTTTATCATTAATCTTCTTTATTTCAATTCAACAGATGAGCCTGAGGCAAGGCAGTGAACCTGCTGGTCAGTGTATCACAGCTTGAAAATAATTTCCCATGAACAAGAAAGTATGGTTATTCTGTACTAGCTGGCGAATGTAGTGTATTGAGGGCAAGTAGTTCTAGGTTTAAGCTGAAACTTCCCCACCTGTGTTTTTATTATTTATTTTACTTAGCTACTCTGCTTCTCAGTTTTTTTTTAATCTGTGAAATATGGTAGGGATATTTAGTGAAAATGTTTTTCTAGCTGTGATACATTCTACAGCAGACCTACCATGAGCAGTTGGTTATGTTAAGACTTCTTGATAAGGTTAAATTAGGAAAAAAATATGCACACTCAGGAATAGAGAATTGGAAGACTGGACAAACACCATGTCAGGCATTTGCCAATTTTCTATCCTAATTTACAGTATTGTCATCATTTGGTGAGCTTCAATGGATGATTATATAAAATTTTCTAAATTATGAAACATATAGGACACTTTATTTTTTTATACTCAGTATGATTTTATTACACATCTTACTTATATATCCCTACCATTTCCCTATATTTGGAGCTTTCAAAATTAATGTTATTTACAAAATCTTACTAAGAAAACTATCCAAATAACAATCATTTATACTTATAAAATCAGTTCATTTTAAATACAATGTTTCTAATAGGTAAATAACATGTAATATTTTCTGAATTTTTTACATGTGACCAAATTAAACATAGTTCATATGATTTAAATCTCAGAATAGTCAGGTATTGGGGATTTTTTTAACACTTTTTTAAAAGACTTATTCTCCCTATAAGTTAAAATGTTAATAAACAAATACCGATGCCCTAATAAATGCAGGGGTTGTATAGCATTCAAGTACGGACATGAAAAATTGTGAAGAGCTGAGGTAGAATTTCAGGTTGATCGCAAATGCAATGTAAACCCATCTTCCTTCTGGCTTTATAACTCATTTTTATAGATAAATGTTCATACATAATTTATCATTAATTACATTCAGATTTTCAATACTTTAGGCTCTTTGTATGACTAGATAATTAGATAAATCCTGTCTAATGTTTTTTTCACTAGAAGATGTTATTATTCAAAAAAATGATCTATTTTAGTCGAAAGTAAACCTACAGCCTGTCATAGCAGTGCATGCCTGTAATGCCAGCACTCTGTGAGACAGAGGCAAGCGGATCTCTGTGAGTTTGAGGACAGTCTGGTATACAAAGTGAGTCCAGGACAGCTGAGGCTACACAGAGAAACCCTGTCTCAAAAAAACCAAACCAAACAAAAAACAAACCAAAAAGTACTCTTCACATTTTTTCATGTCCGTACTAACCTTACATGGTAAGGAAAAGAAAAAAAAACAAAACAAAACAAAAAAAACAAAAACAAATAACAAGTAACAGGGCCTAGAGAGATGGAGCAGCAATTACGAACGCTGGCTATTCTTCCACAAGACCTGGGTTCAATTCCCAGCATGCACATGGCAGCTCACAACTGTCTGTAATTCCATTTCCAGGGGCTCCAGCACCCTCGCACAGATATACATGCATGCAAAACACCGTAGCACATAAAGTAAAATTTAAAACTTATTTAAAAAAATATTAACAGAAACAAAATAAACAAAACCCTGTCTGGCAGTATCAATTTCTACAGATATACGATCCTAAAATTAAGAAAGTTATTGCCAGGCTTGATGGCACACACCTATAATCCCAGCATGTGGCGGGTCAGAGAGCTAGGAGAATTTTAGTGCCAGTCCATAGTAGGCCTCCTAGAGAGCCTTTCTCCAGCTTAAAAAGCAAGATCACTACTTCAGAAGCTTGAGAAACTGGGAAAAATTCCTTTATATCCTGCCACTATAAAGACATTTCTATGTCTTCTAATCCAGGCTCTAGTGTTGATGTCACTGTTTCTGGCATCTTACTTTAACCATGTGACTAGTCAGTCTCAAATAACAGCATGTTAAACAGACTGTTGTTCAAACTGGAAACAAATAGATAAGTTTGGGTAAATACATACAGTTTCTGCATTTCGCATATTATTTAACCCCAGTGTTATTTTTTTTTCCCTAACCAACCACCTAAAGGGCATTCAAAGGTTAAGAGCCAATTCAATTTTTTTAAGATTTATTTATTTATTATTTGTACAATATTCTGCCTACATGCCAGAAGAGGACACTGGATCTCAGTATAGATGGTTGTGAGCCACCCATGTGGTTGCTGGGAATTGAACTCAGGACCTCTGGAAGAGCAACCAGTGCTCTTAACCTCAGCCCTCTCTCCAGCCTGAGCCAATTCAATTTATGAGACCTATTTGTTTTGATAGTAGTGTGCCCCCCCCCAAAAAAAAAAAACCCAGGAAAGAATATGTTCATTTCTTAATTTTTTAAGGGAATGCGTTCTTCTCTTGAATTAAAGATGCATAACCAATGCGGGTATCATGTTTAGGGGAACCACCGGTAGTGGAAGAAAATGTCATCATGATTATGGCTAGGTATAAAAGTCTGCTTGGCAACAAAGGAAGATACTAGTCTCGCCCATTCTCTGAAACTGGACCGTGTCTCCATATGCCACACCAATTAAAGTTAAATTACTTAACTTAATTATATCTTATCTTAAAATATATTTTTCAACCAACTGGGTATTCTTCTATACTCTAGTATAAAGGAGATGGTGTGATAATAAGGGAACTAGTAATGTACTTTTGGATTTATTTTTCTTTTTTTCTCTCCTGCTTGGTTGTTAGTTAGCTATAAGTTTTAGTAGCTAGAATAAATAAATAATAAATAAATAAATGCTAATGGCTGAAAGTCCTTGGATTTGTTTTGTGTGTGTAAAAACTGGCACCACTTGTTAACTGTAATATTTTAATTGGTTTTCCAAATGAGATCCATAAATTTCACTTCCTTTTATTAACATTGAAAACGCTGAAGAAAATTCAAATATAGCCACATAGATTCTGTTGAGAGAAGTTCTTGTTATAGTCCAAGATAACCTCTGATTTGCAATCACCCTGTCTCAGCCTGCTCAGTGCTGAGACTGCAATGTTGTGTTACCATTCCTGGCTTAGCAGCAACATTCATTCCAGAAATATTTTAACTCTTTCATTTTCTCCTACTTCCTCGACAGAGTTGGAAGACTTTAGGTGATAGGATCATAATCTTCCTTTCTTTGTTCCCACATAAGGCTAGCCACAAAGTCATTCTCTAAATATTTTTCTAAAGAATAAATGAATAGAAATTAAAAGCACAACTGGTTCAAAGGGAATTGGAATAAGTAATCTTCCAAAATTAAATTGTAAAACATGATCTATGTTTCAGAGTCAAATTTCATGTCTAAAAACCAAAGCTGTACTACATAACACTTTTTTTTGTTTACACTTATTTTAATGTGCATATGGAAGGTGGAGGACAGAGTGGGGGACCCAGTTCTCTCATTCCTCTATGTGGATCCAGGGATCACTCAGGTTGTCAGTCTTCATAACAAGTGCATTTACCTGTTGTGTCAACACAACACACCTCTACCCATATTGTTAAAGACAGGGTCTCTGCTGACATTGAAGTTCTGCAGTTCACCTCAGCTGATTGTTCAATGAGTTGCCGCACAAGCCTTTGTATACATGGGTGGTAGGGATCTGAACTCCGGTGCTCTCAATTGCCTATCAGACACCGATCCTTCTCTCTAGTGTATCATGTGATGGTTTTGTCTATGCAATGGAATGTTTTCCATTGCACCCTGTTTAAATCATGTCAGATGTATTTCCTTTATGACCTATGATTCCCTCCTGGTGAAATTCCAGCCTCTCCTGGATTTCTAGAATGTCTCCTGTCATTATCTTTCTGTGTGCTGACACATGAGGAATTGCAACACCCATGGCACTTTGATTATTCTCGCTCCAGGTGAAGCATACATGCGGCTAAGTAAACTTCCTGAAGCTGAGCACTGGTACATGGAGTCACTGAGATCCAAGACTGACCATATCCCTGCTCATCTCACCTATGGGAAACTGCTTGCCTTGACAGTAAGTGCCTATCTTTGTCATTCTTCAGAGACTGATGTTACCCACACGGGTACTGGAGACACCCGGAGTTTGAACTGCTGATTCTGAACCAGTTGAACTCAGTTAAAATAATGATGATATGTTAGAGACCTAAGCTAGCAAAGTAGAAAAATAAATAAATAAACTTTTGGGTCTGGCCTATAAGATGGGAGATATGATGATCTTTGAGGTATTTATGAGACACATAAATGGAGAACCGCAACTGTGTCATTATCTATTCATGTTGTTTTAATAGCAACACATGTATAAACTGGCTGAGATTAAACTAAATTTTATCAAATAACTAATATAAAACATATTATACATTTCATTCTAGTTAGAGGCAATCTATCAGAGACTTATAGACTGGCCTTATAGATCAGGCAATTCACAGGCCTTGGAGAAACGGAATAAATAAAAACAATTCTACTAAAAACTTGTACTGGAAGCACTTTTTAAAAGAAAACACATCTAGTAGTAATTACCGTAAATCACAAAAAGAATGTGATGATTTTTGGGTAAGGATACGCTTGTGCTACCAAAGAAGTCGGTTCTAATGTTAGTAAGCATGAAGCAAGAATGAGTTATTGCAAGAATTTAAAACACAGAGAAAGATTTATTATATACAGAATGTATAGGTTTATTCCCAAAGTAATGTTCTCCTCTTGCAATGTAAGTGTTGGATTGTATAGGGGATTCTATACATATTTACATGAGAAAATAAAACATTTTGTGGACACTTTTTTGAGCATACTTCAGGAGCAAAACATCAGAGATTAAATTAAGGGGCAAGATTTGCTCATGGTGCTTATTTACAATGGGTTAAAATGACATACAAAAACTTTTAGGCATGTTCAATGTGTATCATAATGATGGTGAAAAAAATGACTTCAGAGCTGGACATACTGGTGCAAATCTTTAATCCCAGCATTTGGGAGGAAGAGGTTTGAAACCAGCCTGTTCTGCATAGCAAGTTTCAGGGGAGCCATAGCTACATGATAGGGAGAGCCTTTCTCAAACAAACAAACAAGCAAAACACAAGTTAAAACCCTAACAAAGAAAATAACAACAATGACTTTAGCAGTTTTCATTATAAACCTTAGCTGGCTGAATAAAAATGACACAGAAATGATCAGTATGTGAGGGAGTGTAAATGGATAAGGTATTTGAACTGATTTGGAGAAGAAATTAAGAGCAGCTATAATTGACTTCTCAGAGACCATACTCTAAAGAAGTATGTTCAGTGTCGATAACAATGAAAAATCAATTTGTTCCGAAGAACCCTGGAGAAGAACATGAACCAGGGCATCTGGCATAGTGCAGGGCTGAGTTAAAGGCTGTGCAGTGGGGTAGTAATTTTCACTGTGTGACGGTAGGAGTCAGGTTTTTCCTCTGTGTTAAAAAAAATGCTCACAACCAGGCACCCTTCTTTAAGGCAAAAGCAGAGGCTTTCAATGAAAGCAAATGAGTAAGAAAGGTCCATGGCATGGGTATGGCTCAAAAAGCTGAAAATGAGTTGAGGGAAAATCTGTGCTTTGGTTTGCACGTGGGTTGAGTGTGTCTCCCAGATACACGTATGCTTGAGGCTTCATCTTTCATGTGGTGAGGATAATCAGTGATGGCCTGTCAGAGAGGGACTGAATGCTTTGTAGTTCAGTTAGGGTAACATTGCCTTCACAGAGGGTTAGTGCTGATCTCAGAGTGAATTTTTCTGAAAATAAACAAGGACCCTGGTGATGTATCTTCTCATATGACCACTTCTTCATTCTTGGTTGTGTTTCCACCTTGACATCACTATCCTGCTGTGAAGTACCCAGAAGACCCTTACCTGAGCATTGTAGGAACTGGTGCCATGCTCTTAAACATAGCAGAAATAAATATGTTATTCTTTGTAAGTATTTAGCTTCAGGAATTTTTTTTTTAATCAGCAGACAATGGACAACACACAGAATGAAGAAGGAAACATGGGTTGATCCAAAGTCATCTTTTTTTTTTTCAGTTTCTTCTCTCATATAATATGCTCCAACCACAGTTTCTCCTCCCTGTGCTCCTCCTAGTCCTTCCCTACATCCCCTTCTCCCTCAGAGCCATTCCTTCTGTGGTTCTCTTTAGGAAAGAGTAGACCTCCCAGGGATATCAACCAAACACAGATACGGCATGAAAAGTTACAGTAAAACTAGAGCAAACCATCATATCAATGCTGGATGAGGCATGCCAGTAAGAAGAAAAGGGTCCCAAGAGCAGGCAAAAGAATCAGAGGCACCCCAGCTCCCACTGTTAGTCCTACAAAAACACCAAGCCAAAACCATAGCATATATGCAGAGGACCTGGCTCAAACGCATATGTCACTTCTGGAGTATTAATGCTTAGTGTTTCCCAGCTACTCTGCAGAACATCAGCAACATGACTGAAGAGGAAGGCTGACTACCCTTTCTCTCATAAACCTTTTGCTCATCTCTTTTCTTAGACAAATTCATTACATTTTCATACACATATTCTTATGGGGAGAAGGTTTTCCCATGTCTGTGTTAGGAGGGACTCTGTAAATTGCTCTACATCAGGCAAACTAGAGTGACACTATTTTGTGGTGAAAATTTTATTAGCTAACTCACAGCTATGAATGGTTAACACTGTACTGTCTGTCAGTCATACGATGAGGAACAAAGTAACATGATGAAAAATCTGAAGAAACTTGGCAGAGATGGCAACATACAATATTTAAAAGCATAAATAAAGAGTAGGAATGCTGAAGGGAAAAACAAAGCATTACGTTCTTACAGACAAAATCTATAATAGTGGAAACCGTTTTGAGAGGTCTCCCTGTGTACAAATACTGAAACAGGGAAATAGAATGTGTGAGAGAAAACATTTGGAGCTTCTGAGATTTTCTTATGGAGTACACACAGACATATCTGATCTTAAGACTTTTCAAAGAAAACTCTCAAAAAGGACTATAAAAGTTACAGCTGCCTGAATCTGATCCTTCCTACAGAGAAGGAACAGGCAGAAATGGTCACATATTTACACACAGTGCTGACATGCCAATATGAGATATAGAGAACAGGTGACCTGTTTCTTTACATTTTTAAGTTCAGAGTATTTCAAGCTTTCTCTTTCAAAATAGATTTTTAAAGCTGCTTTAAAAGTTTTTGCTTTATAGAAACATTGAAAAGGAAGAAAAGGCTCGTATATAACAATCTAAATTTTAAAATTTTTCCCTCCAGTAAGACTTTTATAGTTTCCTACTTGATGATTAGATGAAATACAGACTTCTGTGGAATGGCTTAATCATAGAGGCAAATCCCACAGCCACCTTTAATAACTTTTTCTAAATTAAAAGTTTGGCAGATTCTGCATCCAGTGTATTATGTTTGACCAGTTATGGGTTTCTTGGTCTTCTAATATGCCACTGAATTGGCAAGGTGGCAAATGCCACACATTTTGACTTCTGAGGTTTTATGTGTTTTATTAAGCAGAACTGGCTACTAGTCTCATGAGAAGCAGAAATGGAGAGATGCATTTCCCTTTATGTCAAAAGTCACCAAAGGTCACCTGTGTGAAAATGGCTGGCAGCTCTATCAGAGTTACTGTAAGCTAGGATTTCATATTAGAATTCTCTCTTAATGGGAAAATTAGGAAAATTTGATGATTACTACCTTCACTGTAGTCAGTGGACTGATTCCCTTGGAACATTTTTTCTTATACACTTTTCTTTAACAATACATGTAATATTTTTAGTATGTAGAAGAGTTCAAAGGGACTTCAAGTTTCCCAAAATGCTTTTGCACATCCTATCAATCATCTCCATTTTATTCTTCTGCAAAAAAATAGCATATTTATCTCTTACTGTTGAAACTGTATTTTCTTTGTGAAGTTTAACCTTTGTTTCTCAAGTAGTTATAATTTTCCTACTTCTCCAATCATCATTAGCCCTCTTCTCTGTATCTTTGTAATGTTACCAGGTAATTTAATGATATACAAATATATGTCTATCTTTTGGTATTAGACATAGAACAGGGACAGGTATCTGTTCCTTTCATGCCATTTTAACATTTATCTTCTTAGTTTGGTACTTACTGTACCTTAATCCTTCATTTGGTCCACACATGTATGTAGGCTGGTTGAACCACACTGAGCATTGCATTAATTCTCAAGGATGCCTGCTGCAGAATTGAGCAAGAGTGGCATAATTACACAGCAAACACAGGAGTAATCTTCCAAAGCTCTAGAAAGAGGGTGATATTAGAGGCCCATCATCTGGTTTCTGTGCTTGACGTTATTTGTGTATTTTTTATCTTAAATTATTTTTCATAAAAAATTTTGATCATATTCTTTCCTCTCCCACAACTCCTCTCAGATCTTCCTCACCTCCATATACACCCAACTTCATACCTGAGCTCTCTGTCTACTTCTCCAAACAAAAACACAACAGGAAATACAACAAAAACCAGCAATCAAAACAGACAAGCAAGCAAAAAAAAAAAGAAGAAGAAAAGAAAATCAATAAGAAAAAACAAAACAATAAACAAACAGACAAAAAAAAAAAAAAAAACAAACCACCACACCACTAACAACAAAGAGCACAAAGAAAAATAACAACAAAATACACAGTCTGTTTTGTGTTGCCCAAGGACTACTGGGCATGGGACCTACCCTGGAGTGTAGTTGATATACCCATTTACACTCCACTGGAGAACATTGATGTTTCCTTTCCCAGCAGGTATTGACTGCAAATAGCTTCCTGGTTAGAGGTGGGGTTTGTGTTCAGTAACCCTTTTCCATGCTGGGATTTTGTCTGGTTTGAATTTATGCAGGTCTTGTGCATGCTGCTACAGTTTCTTTGAGTTCATATTGGCCTCAGTCGTGTTGTACTTTGGAAGGCTCTGTTTTCTTGGAGTCTTCCACCACCTAATTTCCTATCTCTCTCACATGGATCCCTGAGCCTAGAAGGACGGGATATGACAAAGGCATCCTTTTTAAGA